ATATATTTTTGTCTTTATTGCTTCTTATGAAAAATTCTGTCAGTAAATAATATTAAAAGAATAAAATTTATGAATGGTTTTTTAGTTAGTATATTTAAAATATAAAATAATTTAACAAATTTCATTTACCAAAAAAATTGTCAATGAATACATTAATAGACAAATAAAATTTAAATACTAACCAAAAATTCTGTTTGAAAAAAATAAAAGCTAAAAAAACTAATAAGTCGGTAACACTATAAGAAAAAAATAAAATGATATTTTAACTTAACTTTAAATATCTTACTAAAATATAAAAAGAATAATATTTTGGTAGTGAGACCTATGGCATCCGTCCGTTATGATACTGTTGTTTATAAGGCCTAACAAAGGTTTATAATGTAATCACAAATGGTGTTGCTATCAATAATTTTTTTCTAAATTACACACATATATTGATTTCAATCAAAGCCCACCAATAGTCATCAATGACGGATTCTCATCGCTAACTAAATTATATAGTGCATGAACATCAGTAGACACCGACGAAGGCGTATCAGAAATTATCAACGATATTATTATCAATAATTATATCTCAATCACCAACAAAAATTAATATCAATAACCGTTATACCATCATTGACCACCGTGGAATTTCCATCCATGATCATTTGCTTCATTAAACTTTTTATTGTTGTCATCAAAAAGGCCCATTTGTCAATTTTTCCTAAGACCCCCAAAATTGGTTGAGCCGCATCTATTCGTTTGTAATTTTGTATTTCCTATTTAGATTTAGATGTGATTTTATTGTATTTTAAGAAAATTAAAGTATCAATCCATAGAATACATTGAAAACTACTTTTAAACTTTGATGTCTATTTATTATACATTAATATTATAGAGGTCAAAAGAAGTCTTTCGACTTAGCAATCCACAAAAAGTATTGGAGGCGTTCTTAGCAAACAAAACCAATAGATATATACAAAATCGTTGGATTAGAGGTCACGCGTAGTTGATGTGGGTTGACCCAATCCAGAATCTATTGAAAATGGTTTGAGGGAGTAGTATGATTTTGAGTTAAAACCTTCAACCTCATATTTACATGTCTTGCATTTAAAAATAATATATATATGACTGAAAATATGCAGAAAATTGGTGCATAAAATATATTAAAAACAGTAAAAATTGGCTCCTAATAAAATTGGTGCATAAGATATCTTGTCTCATTCAAGAGGGTGAGACCAGTTAGAACAAAATGACTAACAAGTGCAAAATGCATGAAAATCTATCAATAATTCAGGCCAAATCCTCATGAAATTTTAAAAGTCCATGTTTGATGAGCCTGTGTAGCATTGGAATCCATGTTCAGATCTTATTACCGAAAGTTCGGAGAAGTGATTTTGTCGAAAAGAGAAAATATACATATCTCATTTTCTTTAATTAAAGAGGTCTCCCTTATTGACACCATCTGCTCGTTATTTTGTCTTTCTCAACGATATCACCCCATAACTTTGTCAGAATTTTGTCCTTTAGAATGTTGTCTCTATTAAATATCTCACCTAAATATTATAGCAAACAAGAGACATTAGTAATCTCTAAGTGTATACATCTGGTTGATTATCTTTAGAGTTACTAAAAATGAAGAAAAATACAAGTCTTTTCTGATGCAGAACAAACAAGAGAACAACAAGAAAGGGGAAAGAAATCAGAGAGAATGGGAAGAGAAATCAAAAAAGAAGCAAAAATTCGGGGGAAAAGGGGAAGGAAAAGGTAGGAGACGCCAAAACCAATCTCAATTCATCATAATCATCAACTGTCCCAATTTCATAACAAACTAAGTTTAAATAACAAGACAAAACCCTAAAAAGAACAAGCTTGGGCCAAACCCCTTGTACAAGCCCAATTGCATAAACAAAATTCCAAAACATAAATAAAAGTTCAACTAGAAAATAAATAAAATGGATGTCATCATCAACTCTTTCGGAGTGGGAGAAAAACTCGGCTATGTAGAGTAGATAAATCACAAAATACTGCTGTCAATCTGATACCCAAAATACTTCAAGTCATGCCACGGGGGACAATCTTTATGATGAATAAAGTATCGAAATTCAATGATTGATAGTAATGAAAAATACAGTTTATTCCCAAGAAAATGATTTGACCAAGGGGGATGATCTTTCTTTCTAATCCTTCTAATCAAATACTGATACTGGACACCAAATAATCAACACTCATGCACCTCATCTTCAAAATTCTCACATGATTGTGCATGATGAGGAGGACAAGAAGCTAGCATTGGAAACTGGCCTATAGAGACAAAAGATTGCAACATCAAAGGCTCGAATAGGACTTTATTAGGAAACAATTCTTCTACATTGAAAATATAACTTTCATTTAAGTGGATGGCCAGTCAAATGGAAAATCTTTATACGAGTGATCCAAAAACTTTTTCTTCATATTTCTAGGAAATCGAATCAAAGAGACTCACAATAAAGTATAGTACTCGTCAATAGAGGACTCTAATTTATATTTGCATCGAAAGTAAATTCAAAAATTTAATGATTGGAAATTATTCGATCTTTTAACTTAGCATGAAATTTAGGAACATTGTCAACATAATGATGAGCTAGCACAGCTTGTCAATAATTATTGGGCAACATCCTAATGTTAATAGGAAGAGTGTGCAATTAAGTAATGACCTAAGAAAACAATGTCGCGACACGTGGAGTCTCATGTAACTGAGGAAGAATTAAAACAAAGTCAACATGAAAGTCATGCAACACAGTAGGCACAAGGTTTAGGACATATGAAATGTTTGACTTCGATGGCATTGCTTTATGTACTTTCTCAATTATGTCAATTTTAAGTGTATCGGTTATAAATGTGGTCAAAATAGGGGACATAAGACACTGTTCACAACTTTCGAATTCTGGGAAAATGGAGGAAATAATTGCACTATAATCATCTAAACAAACTCCTAAAGATTTTATAGCTCGGGACAAGTAAGGTTTGATCTTGTCAGCACACTTCTCGAAAAGTTTTTCCACTACATTAAATACAATAGGGGAAACATCTTTGTGTTTTTTTTTAAAACACAATCCAAAAGAAAGGTAATCAAATCAAATCTAGAGGAATATAGTCACTTTCTTCTAATATAAAGGTCATGATAGTCTCTATGGATGTGAAGACATTCCCTAAATGATTTCTTTTTAGAGCTACGAGAAAGTGCTGGAATATGTCAATTATCGTAGTTCACAATCTTGGCCCAACATGATAAGCTAATATTTCGCATTAGCCATGGTATCAAACTGTCGTAGCATACAAATTGATGGATGTGCGTGCTCATGAGATATGCGAATAATGATATAATCAAGGGAAAAATATCTTGCATTATTTCATTGCAGAAAGGGGGATTAGGTGCCGTAATGCGGAATATTTCACCAAGGCGAGAAACAACTGCTACTTGTATATTAAATTCAGGATGTCTTAATAGCTTATTTGAAACCAATGCCATGCTAAGTGTGTTAAAAGATGTGAGCATGGAAAAATAAGGCAATTGGTCCACTCGTGAAAGTAAATATTCTGTGAGTTCAAGTAACGATAAGAGTTCATTACAAAGCAATGAAAATTGAAGAAGTTTTCTTCCATTTGTTAATGAGTGGTCTCCTAACATTATATATTCATGCCATAACAATTTTTTTTTTAAAAATTGACAAGCCAAAAATAGTACATATTCAATATAACAAGATCGTCACCTTATGAGACCTAATAGAGTCAAACAATACCTTAATCATGAATCTCAGGATAGACATGACTCCAGTGGCAAAGCGGCAATTGAATCATCCGAGTGGCTGTGTCAATCAGCAAGAAAAAAGGAAACAACGTGCAAATAATGTCAGAAAATTTCTCTCTCTCTGTCTCTCTCCAACTACACTTTTATTAGGCCCAAAAACTAATCAAGGCAGAGCCTAAACTGAAAATCAAATACTTAGACTCACAATACAAAGCCAAAATACCAAGGCACGACCCAATTTGATAATCAAATACCCACAATTTGTCCAGCCCTACTCAATAGTTACGAGACGAGAGATGCGGTGTTGACGGTTGCGAAGATGACTGCGTCGACTGTAAGGATGATTGACGGCGATAGTCATGGCGAGTGCTTGGAGATGGATTGTGATTACTTGAGTGTAGCATGTGGTGTTGATTGGATGAAGATGTGGGGTGCGTTGGGCGGATTATTGATGCTGTGTAGAGAAGATGAAGCTTGGGTGATTGGATCAAGTTTGGAAGAGGCGAATGGAGCGAGATGTGAGCAGCGGCTGTCAATTTGTGTGGTTTGGGAAGTATGCGTACTGATGTACTGTATGTCGGTTGGAGAGGTGGAGGCAGTGGTGATTGGTTGTTTTGTTGATAGTAGGTTGTTATTGTGACAAAAAAGGTCGATTATATAAAAGTTGCAGGTTACGCTATAGCCTGTGTTGGAGTTGGAGGTTTGGCTTGTGGGGTGGTCGCGTATACTGGAATTATTTGGTGGGGGTTGTAGTTGGTGGTGGAAGTTCCAGGTGTTGAGTGAATTTCGGGTGGTTGGCAGTTGTGGAAGGACGTGGTGGTTTCTCTGGTAGCATTGGTGAACTGGAAAAGGGGGTTGAATTAGCAGGTGATGGATATACTAGTTGTATGTATGGAATGGATGAAGAAATATTATCCAAGTTTAACTCTAATACCAAATTTGATGGAGGATAAAGAAGAAGACAATAAGAAATGGGGAAGAAATCGGAGAGAATGGGGAGAGAAATTGGAGAAGAATCAGAAATTCAGGATAAAAGGGGAAGGAAGAGGTAGGAGACATCAAAACCAATCTCAATTCATCATAATAATTAACTGTCCCAATTTCATGACAAGCTAAATTTAAATAGCAAGACAAAGCCCTGAAAACAACGGGATTGGGCCAAACCCCTTGTATAAGCCCAATTACATAAATAAGAGTCCAAAACATAGATAAAAGTCCAACTAGAAAATAAATAAAATGGATGTCTTCATCATTTTCTTGATAATTCTTTACACCACACTAGATCATTTACGACAAAGAAAAATTCATAAAGAATGTACATGAATCTCTTGAACTTTCACTTTCAGTACACATTAATCCTCATGACAAATTTTCTTGCATCAACATTGTCAAACATGATGCCTAACTTCAGTATAACACAACACACATTGTGAAACCAAACACGACTAATACTGGTTGACTTAGTTCGGTTTGATTCAAGAGTAAACAAAAGTAAAAGTATTGTATAACAATACCACTAGCAATAGAACCAAGATCTGATCAGCCAATGAGATTCGCTTGCTAGAATCATTCTGAATTTTATTCAAATTACAAGATGACCACTTCTGTTCAATTGAGAAAGATGGGCGATTAGTATGAAGGTAAGGCCTGAAAAGTAATTCCCCACCAGCTGACTTCAGTTCGTTATGGCTCCCTTCCTATATTTAACAATTAAAAATGAAATTATGTTAATTCACGACCCAATTTGGAATAGAAATAATCTAAATTAAATTACCTCCAACTCTTTCCCCATATTTACAACAATGGTGTTGTTGCTTGGGCTGAATGACGAACTATGCAACTCCGACTGCCAACAGAACTCGCCTGAATCTAGTATAAGATGGAGCTTCAAAGCATATTGACATGATTCTTGGCATTTTTCCTCGACTAGAGAGGGAATTCGATCGATGATATTAGCTCCATGGTACCTATATATGCTCAATGTGGATTCCCCTAATTGAACTTGCTCTGGAGATTGGTTTATAGCACTTGGAGCAATTACCTTTGCCAATTCTTCTGCAATAGATTTGAGTTTTGTGGCAACATACTCCATTTTTTGCCTGCAAATGGTGTAAATAATCTCAACTCGTGAAACTTTAAGGAAGGTATCCATCTTTCTGCACGTGGGATGAAATTGAGATACTGATGTAAAGACTTCCCTTCTGAATCGGATAGATTCATAAATGAAAGAGGTTGACAATAATTTTTTTCAAAATTGACTATTCGTCCCTTCCTTCGTCTTCCACTCTTACTAACTAGCGAATCCAAGTTATACAGTTTGGTCTTTGATGGCTTGGATTGGATGAATATACTCAGTTAAGTTTTAGCTTCACTTGTGTATGAAAATTGCTAGTGTTTATTGTGAAGAAAAAACGAAGTTGACAAGCTGAAAATTTTCTCGAATGACCCTTTTACAAGTGTAAATTTTTAAAATGTTGATATCTTAAAATAGAAATCAAGTCTTAAAAATCAAAACGCAAAAGACGCCTAAACAATGTAACGAACCAAAAATTCAACCTACAATGGAAATGCAAAATAGACAAAGGGTTCGCCTGATTGGAGTGAATTCCATGGAAAATATCGCATTCGAAGAATTCTACTTTTGCTGTTTGATAATGGAAATGAAGTTTGATTTCCAAGGTACAAACCAATTCCATGTAAGTTGGGAAAAAAAAATCACCAAAACCATAGGAATGCATTTTCTATGGAATTGACCAAAAATATGCTTTACATATTTGTATTTTAGAATTTGAACTTCATTTTCACTTTCGTATCAAACAGCCAAAGTAAAAAATGAATTCATTGAATGTGATATTATCCATGAAATTCACTCCAATCAAACGGACCTTAAAATTCAAACTTTGGTAACTTTTACCTGAAAATATGAAATTTTTGCTCTCCAAGAACAAATTTACCCTTCTCCATGAACTCTTTATCATCATCACACCACACAAACTTCTCATGATCTCCATAATTTGTGCAACATTCAATTGGCAGTCCAAATATCTGTTCACAATCAACCAATATTGATCTTAACTCATCACTAGAAATTCCATGCCCAATAATCCGAAAAATTCCGAGTCCCCTAGCCGATGTCAACAGCGGACTCATTGATTCATCATCATCCATTGATATGAGCAGTTGATAATCAATATCAAGTGGCTTTAAACTATGAACATGCTCAGGGAGAGTCAATTCCGGGATATGTATTGACTGGTCTATGTAATCGGATAAAACTGGATCCACGGCAGAACGCGATCCCTTGCCGGTGGGAATGGGCGGTGGCGGCAGGGTTGCCGGTGATGATGAAATCAAACGATTTCTGGCAGGCATGATATAGTATGAATGCCTTTCTTGAATTGGGGAAACAGAAATATCAGTTTTAATGAGGATTGAACATATTATGTGTTAAAGTGCATGGCCCATGGTGGGTGCACGTCCAAGGCGTAGCCTTCACGTTTCGATTTGCTTCTATTAGTTGAATTTTAGGTGTGTAAGTTTAAAATCGTTCAGTTGAGTTTCTCTTAATGGGTTTTTCATTTTCTAAATAGGTAGTCCAATGACATATCACCCATAAGTATATCTAATGCAACACACAGAAAGCAGACATACAAACCTCATTTTACTACATTTTCTATATTTACTAGAGTTTCATAATTTTGTTGGAAAATTGTTGTGAATAAATTCGATTCAGATAACTAATATTTTATGTGCATAAAATTGGACAGAATTTCGACTTACCAAAATTGAATATGTAAAAGTAAAAATAAGAAAGGCATGAATATGAATTGGGTCAAGACGAGTTCTACTCTTTTTCTTTAATATGATAATGTCCCGCAAAGGTGCTAATGATTTTTTGGCACTCATCCTCCAAAATACAACGACCACGTCTCGCAATAGGAGCTCTCCAAATAATGTAGATTAATAAACTTACTTATGTCTTGAACTCTCTTCTATAAAACTCGACTCAAAATAATTGCAAAATTTATTTTGATTCATAATGCAAGTATGAAAATGCATGGATCATGTGTTGTTGTTTTTTTTTTTATCGATAAATGTAAATATCATTGATAAAAAATGTTCAATATACAAGTACACTGGGCATTTCCGGACGAATCAAAAGTCAATAACACATACAATTACTCCGGACATACCCGGGAAATATAAAATAAGTGAAGTGCATAAAAAGTCAATGACCTAATGCTAAAGACTCGAAATGGATCAAGACATCCGAATACAAAGTGAACATAATTTTGTATAAGTGTGTTTTGATCCGTCTCACAATGCAATCCAAGTTGGCCGAAAGATCTTCAAAAATCTTCCTATTCTGTGTTAACCAAATGTAATATACGATGCTTGCAAGAGCAATCCTCTTCGCCTTACTTAGTCATGATGTCCCACGAGCTTCCTTTTTCAACCACTTTATAGCACTAGCAAGTGTTAACATAGATCTCTTGATATTGAACCATCACCTAACATTCCCTCATAAGGTAGATGTGAAGGAACATTTAAAGAAAAGATGGTCGCAAGTTTTCGCCAAATGCCCACAAAACACACAATTACGATCAATATCCAAAAATTGCAGTTTTTCTTTAGTTAGGAGTTTAGATTGAACCTCTAACCAAAACAAAAAGGAATGCTTCGGAGTAATGCATGGTTTCCAAACTTCGGCTCCCCAAGTCTTGAAAGTGCCCTTAGGCCTAAAGAAATTATAAGCAATTTTTGTGCTGAATTTATCACGTGTCGAGCAGCCCAGAAATTGTTCCAAAAATCCCAGAAATCGCCTGTCGTTGTGAACTATTTGCCCGTCTACTAAAACTGTCCGGATTCTGTCGAGTTTGGCCCATATTCTGTGCATGCCCAGCAAGGTAATTTGGGGCAAAACCAGCAGACCGAGGTAATATTAGTCCAGTGTCCATCAAATTCGACGTCACAAGCTGTCCACTAGTAAGAATCTATTGGCTAGCTCCCTTTTCACGCAATATGTCTCTGATTTCTAGCAATTTCTTAAAGAGAGGAGAGTGATATTTTCTAGGACGAATCTCCCAAATGCAAGTCTCATTAAGATATACTTGATGAATTCACCGAATCTAGAGAGTGTCTTTTTTATGTTGTATATTCCAAAGGGACTTAGAAAGTAACGCTAAATTCCTACTCTTCAAGTCCTATAATCCAAGGCCCCTTTCGTCTTTTGGAAAGCAAAGATCCTTCCACGCAACCAAAGGCTTCTTTGATCACCAAAGGAATTTCCGACAAAGGCTAACAACCCTTGAAGTAATTGCAATCGGGATAGGGAAGATAAAAAGCTAAAAACATTCAACATCTTGAAGCACCGCCCTAATGAGTTCCACTTTTTTACCGGCATAAGCTAATGAAGAGCAATTCCAAGCACCAATATAAATTGCAATTTTATCAAGGAATGGAGCATAAGAACTCACTTTGAGCTTTTCCGAAGCAAAGTAATACCCAAGTAACGAAAAGGCATAGTACCTTTTGGAAAATTTGAGAGTTCCATGATTCTTTCAAGCTCAAACCCATAAATCCCAGCTGTGTATAAACTGGATTTCAAAGTGTTGATCTTCAAACTCAATACAAAACCAAAGTTATCAAGGCAATTCATGAGAATTTGCACTGACATAGCATCTCCCCTTGCAAAGAGCATCAGGTCATACGCAAAAACCAAATGAGTTATCTTTAAGGGACCACATTTCGAGTGATAATTAAAATCACTATCATTTGTAGCATCCTTGATCATTCTAGAAAAGTATTCAAGACAAAGCACGAACAAAAAGGGGGATAGCAGATCACCCTGCCGAAGACCTTTCTCGCCTTTGAAGAATCCATGCATACTCCCATTCGAAGTTACAGAATATGTTGGAGAGGTGACACATTCCATAACCCATTGAATAAATCTCAAAGGAAAATTCAACCTTTCAAATACACTTTTGAGAAAATCTCAACTTATCGAATCATAAGCTTTCCTTATATCAATTTTTAGGAAGCATCTTGGAGTTACCTTCTTTCTATTGTATTGTCTCATGAGTTATTGAGCAAGGTGAATATTTTCCGTCATGCTCTTACCTTCAATGAAAGCGCCTTGTGCTTGGTCCACAATGTCCCCCAAGATAGGCCTCAATCTAGATGCAAGGATTTTTATGATCACTTTATAGATCACATTACAACAAGATATCGGTCTATAATCCCCAACACTAGGTGCATGAGTAGACTTTGGCACCAAAGCAATGACCACATGGTTGATTTGCTTAAGGATGGATCCCAATGAAAAGAATTCATATTCGAAAAGATACACCTATTAAAATGTGCTCCAAAAGTCACGATCTTTCGTCTGAAACAATTTTAGTCAAACATATTCTAGAATATTTTGTCACGTATCACACCCGGGTTCATAGAAAGTTAATAGAATATTTCATTACGTTAATTTGATTTTCAACAATTTTCACATGTTAGAGTTTCAATTACATCCATAATTTCTCATTCACTTGATTTGAGAAATTACAATACTTTACTAGTGAAGTAGAACAAGTTCAGCCTTCAAATTCCCATAATCAACATGTCTCGCTTAACCAATTGGTCAAAGTTAGTCAAAACCAACATTTTGAACCAATTTCCAACAATTTTACATCCCTTCCATGTCTCATTTCAGAGGGAACCTCAAGTGACTCTATTTCATTATATTTCATCTACTTTATAGTGGAATTTCGCCTCTTTCCTTGGCCTTATCTTTGAGCCCACGCCATACTTTCAAGAAGAGCTCGAACGACCTTTAAAAAAGGGTATCTATACCCAAAATCGACACAGGTGGGAGAATACCTAAGGGCGAGAAACAGAGTGGACCAATTGAAAGTGGAGTAACATGTAATCAAAGATCAAGCAATCATCCGGTCAACAACTTGGACGATTCCAAAGCAAGATAGACAACATTCTTAATAGTTGCGGGCACTTAAAAAAAAATCCCACAAAATCCCATCAACCTGATTCCTAAAACAGTCTACAGGATATAGATCACATCTCACCGACTCCATTTTTTCCCCCTAATTGAACCCCACTTATTACTTGAAAAAATAATAAAAATAATTAAAAAAAAAAAAGGCACAAAGCTCAAAAAGGCGTATATGACTTGACGGGGTCAATGAAAGAAACGAAGATAAATTTAACTCGTAAATTATTCTGGAAGCTAAAACAAAGAAAAATCTCACTTTAAATTACGTGTGCTTGGTCACGTTCCAAGTCATCATGTGTTTTGTGAGATATTCTTTTGCCTCATTATTGCTTTTGTAATTAGTCCCTCTTCGGACTTTACATACATATGACGTAGATGATTTGTCGTAGGAATGTAAAGATCTGTAACTGCTCTAAGTGTAGATGTCGATGCCTTAGCAGAAGAAGAAACACCTTTCTGATTTAATGCAAAATTTTCAAGCCCCGTGTTCGTATCCACCCCGCCTCGTTTGTTTTGCTCATCGGGCAAGTTCTTTAGCGATATTCTCTACCTCACACCGTGGTTGACCACTAATTTTGACTTTCTGAATCTTACCGTGGTTTAGAATGCCATGCTTGACTTGTGATTCTCCTAAAGTCACCGGAAATGTAGTTAAAAATACCAACATGCTCAATATCTCACAATCTTGATGTCAAGTCACCAACTACCATATTGAATTATATACTTAAAAGATTCTCTTGCATAATCCTTGATATAGCGTCCTGAATTTTCTACTTTGCAAGGGAAAATGTCTTACCATTTCTTGAGGTTTCTAATATTGAGTGTCGGATTGTGTACTGTGAATGGATGGTGTGGAGTTTACTTGCAAAATCGATCTGCATCAAGAAAGCGTAGTTCATGATTAATTAATTTATATAGTATATCTCATCGAACGAGACGGGTTTCACGGGTGCGAAGAGCTGCCCCAACTTCGTTGCAGCCCAAACCGAGAACCCGAGTGCAACAGATTAAGTACACTTCCCTCGGAGTGGGGCCGAGCCTCGTTAGTTGATCGACAGGAGTTTTTATCTTAAGATAGAGTCCGAAACGAACTGGCCACAAATGAACAAAATTAATATAGTTGAGCGCAGGCATTCACCAGTAATATTGTTATTAGAAAATCTCCCTTATATAGAAAAGAAAGAAGATATGACACATCCAATATCCTCTAAATTCTCCTCTACAAGAGGCCTTTTCATTCAAGTCCCGCCTACGCTGTGTCATTCCCCCATTTTTAATGATATGGCCAACGATGCAGTACATCCGACTCCGAGATGGAGTAAAGGCCACTGATATGGGGCGTCAATGTTGAAGAGTCTCAGCTCCGTCTCTTAAGCTCTCTCCTTCCAGTCCGTTCTGCAAGCGAAAAATACAAGAAGCTCAGCA